GATGCGGCACCCAGAGCCGTCGTTGCACCCCATATCTATGAGAATACACACCCCTACGCACTATAACCAAAAAAACCTAAACCCTATAAACCCTAACCCTAAACCCTAAACCCTAAACCCTAAACCCTAAACCCTAAACCGCCTAAACCCTAAACCCTAAACCGTAAAGACCTCAAAGCGTCAACCCCACGTCTAAACCCCAACCCTGTACCCCCAAAGTCATCCACAAGGGCCTTGTGTGGAGTTTAGGCTTTCTTTGGGGGCTTGAAAGATTAGCCTGAGGGGTAAAAGGAGGGGCCCCTAGAAGGGACATTTAATCTTATTCCCCTTATGTAAGCCTAAGTTATATATAGAGGGTTATCGTCCCTATAAAAGTATAGATAAGTAGCCCAATAACCCATAAACATTCCCTAAGGTCCCTTATAAGGGTCCCTCCTTTAGTCCCTTGATTAGCCGCCCTCCAATGTCTAGGCCATGTGGACAGTCATCTAGGTCCGCGTTTGGGAGGTCCTTTCAGTAAGAGAGTGCCATGCCATGCTACTTCAAGGTGAATGGGTAGCTATAAGTAGGGTTGAAACCCTAAACCCGAAAGCCCAATGTGGTTTATAATTACCCTAAACCCTTTGGCTCAGGCCTGAAAACCAAACCAAATTTATCCCAATGCAGAGAGCTAGGCTTCTGCCTGCCATCACCGTCAACGGCAAACCCTATATCCAACTATGATTCCCAAACCGTTAAGCCCCTGAACCCAAGGGTGCGCAGCCTTTGAGAGAATGCTGGGATGTTCTATCGGTTCGGGTTTAGGTTTTAGGCTTACGAATTCCTCAGGGTTTAGGGTTTAGGCTTCAGCTTTAGGCTTTAGGGTTCCGGGTGAGTGCCAATGAGCTGTGATCTTCTGAGGTTTAGGATTTACGGTTTAGGGTTTAGGGTTTGCAGGGTTCGGCCAGAAAGTGCCCTTCCAGTGCCAAACAGTTCGCCTCTGTGTGACGGGTGCATTCGCGCGAATGGCCCGAAAGGACCAGGATACCCACCTGGACAGTAGTTGTGCTACATGAGGCGGATCAGTCAGCCAGTGGGCACAATCAGCTGGCTCTGACTCTAGGTGCCAATTGTCTCGAAGGTACCAGTCGGGCGCATAGGGTTTAGGGTTTAGGTAAAGGGTTTAGGGCTTAGGGCTTAGGGCTTAGGGCTTAGGGCTTAGGGCTTAGGGCTTAGGGCTTAGGGCTTAGGGCTTAGGGTTTAGGGTTGTGCTCTGGCATTTGGCCCTACAGAGCCTTTAGACTTACAGCGCTCGGTGTCAAAGACACCTTGGCAGAAGACGCGCTCATGACACTGCTCGACTAGGTTCGCCCACAATCAATGATGCTGGAGCTCATGCCCCGGGTTTAGGGTTTAGGGTTTAGGGTTTGGGGTTTAGGGGCATCGTACCCCAATGCCTGTCCAAGCGAGTTTATTTTCATCTGTTTCATTCTATTCCCGTTCTATTCTGTTCTATTCTTTGTGGTTGCTAGGATTCAGTATGTTTTTGTCTCGGCCCAGGGCTTGGGGTTTAGGGTCGTGTGACAGATCTGAGATTCTTCAGGGTTTGTCAGGCGCGCGCAGACGTGCCCACCATTGACAAGTCAGATGCCCAATGCTTTCCATGGATCATGCGTAAATGTCAAGTTTGTAACTGTCACTGATACGTCATACGACGAAGATCCGCGCAGACTCAGCTGGGTTTCGGTCTGGCGTTGTGGGTTTCGGGCAGAACTCAGGGTTAACAATTTTTGGGGATCTTCTTATTGGACCTCCTGTCGCAGCATCGGGTTTCAGGTATGGTCATAGTAGGGTCGGCCTGCGATGAACATGCGGGGCATTGGCAGCTCCCAGTCTGTGCGCGCGGAGTGCAGCTAATCCAAGCCACCTTGATGGAGTCCATGCCCTAAACCCTAAACCCTAAACCCTCAACCCTCAACCCTCAACCCTCCAACCCTGAACGCTAAGGCCTGATGCAGCTTTATGGTCAGTGTAGCGGTGCATCAAGAAAATCAGGCACCCCGTTCCCTCCCCCCCCCCCAACAAACCACCAAAGAAAACTGAATAGAGGGGTCAACGTAAACCCGGAGCCAAGGACATCCAATCCTAAACCCTCTAGCTGCCAGCCGTTCATGGTAATTCAGGGATCAGCGTACAAGGGCTGGCGAGTTGTGTTGGAATTGAGATGTGCTAAGGGTTTAGGGTTCAGTGTAGGCTGTTCTTGGGCCTAGGTTGGAGTTGAGATGGGTTTAGGTTTTCAAGTTCAGTGTAGGGTGTTTTCGGGTTGTGGCTTAGGGTTAGCAAAGCCTTCCCAGCACGCAATTTGCCATTCCTTTCACTAACTTCCCCTTGGCCTCCCCCGCTTCAATAACGAAAAAACAGAACAAATCCTATAAGCCCTTGGGTTTAGGGTTTAGGGCTTAGGGCTTAGGGCTTAGGGCTTAGGGCTTAGGGCTTAGGGTTTAGGGTTTAGGGTTTGGGGTTTAGGGTTTAAACCTTCTATCCCCGATCCTCTTGGCAGCCCGGTGGTTCGCCCCTCCGTTTGGTTCAAGGTTCCCGTATACAGAAACCGAGCTAAAAACAAGCGTAGCCCTAAACTCGATCAGTGTTAGGGATCCTTTTTACTTTTTGGGTCATGGGCTTCTTATAATATGAACAAAAAGGATCCTTTTTTTCTTCCTAGGGGAACAGGGATTAAGTAAACTCGAAACCCCAAATCCGAATCCCTAAACCCTTAACCCCTAACCCCAAAGAACGTTCTTAAACCCTAATTGTAATATGGATGCTGAGCTATCCAAGTTCTCATCACATTGAGCAAGGCAACGCCTTGTTTCAAATTCGGAGCCTTTTGGCCAGCGCCTGGGGTGCCCTCAAAGCGCAAAGCCCTACAACCTAAACCCTAAACCCTAAACCCTAAACCCTGAACCCTGAACCCTGTACCCTGTACCCTGAACCCTCTACCCTGAACCCTGAAACCTGAAACCTGAACCCTGAACCCTGAACCCTGAAACCTCGAATCTCTAAACTCCTACACCCCTAGACAGCTCGAATGTCTCAGGCCTGGCTCAAAACAATGAGATTTAGCCACGTGCCCTGATGTGGGGCACGCTCTACTGTATGCCAACCGAAAGCCCACAGAAGCCATAGTGTAGGGTTTGGGGTTTAGGGTTTAGGGTTTAGGGTTTAGGGTTTAGGGTCTAACTAAGGCGACTGAGAACATAACGGAAGCCTTACTGACTTTAAGACCTCATCTTGCTATGCAACGTGCTTCACGCAGATTAGAATTCAGGGTTCCCTCCAATTGGAACTCCATGTTTGCGCACTTCGCGCGGTCAGAACCATAAACATATCCGATTGTTTTGAAACAAGCACAAACAACACCTTCGGGTACCTTTTTGGACCCTCGGGTACCCTAAGCCATCAACATACATACTTCCCCCCCCTGAATCCACCGTTTTCGGCTTCAAACCTCTGAACATACGCTTTGTGAATGGCCTAGCCTAAAGTCTGAAAGTCTTGTGTTGTTCGCTATTCTAGGTTGTAGCGAACACAAATCTACATTACCAGGTCAGCTAATTTGCCTCAACTTGAACTGTTTCAATCAGGTGCTAGAAATTGTTGGTACTTTGGGGCTATTTCTCGAAAAAGAACAGTGGTTAATAACATATGGCCCGAATAGACCTGTTTAGGTTAATACTTTTGATGATTATGTTGGCTCGCCTCCCCAAATTTAGACTGCGAAACACTTCACGAATTCGATTTTTATTGGAGGGTTTAAATTTACTCAAGTACTCAAACTAGGAACCGGCCGTCTTATGTGAAACCACACACATTACTACAAGCAAATACAGAAGCCAATAGCCTTTTGCTGTTTTTTGCTGTTTCCAAGTAGGGTTTAGGGAAAAGGATTTAGCGAGTAAAATTAAAGGAATAAGATTTTAGGATCCCGCTCTTTAGAATTTAGCGACGATTTGCGGAACAGAGTTAGTGTTTAAAGAGTTAGGGCTCTTCTCTCAAGGATTGAAAGGGCCCCTCTCTTTTGGGCTTAGGTTTAGGGCTTAGGGAATAGTGGGACTTCGATTTAGGAATCCCGCTCCTTGGGATTTAGCGGAAAGGATTTTGGGAATAGAGTCTTATTCTTTTGGAATTCAGGACCACCCGCCTTATGGTTTAGGCTATAGGATCTGAATAAGATTAAGGGAAGATCGATTTAGGGAAGAAGACTTGGGGATCCCGCTCTTTAGGGCTTAGCGAAAAGAACTTGGGAAACATGATTTATTTTTAGGACCTAGGGGCTCTCCACTTCAGGATTTAAGGATGCCCCTCTGTAGGGCTTCGAGAGTATGTAGCAACTCAACCTCGAGCCCGAACCCCAGAACATGTAGCAGAAGAGTTGTGACACAGCTGTGTGATTCTCAGGGGGGGCATGCGAAGATAGTGCTCCAATCAACTGCTGCTGCACAAAGGACCGTAGGGGCTTCGATTGGAGCAGAGAGCGCGAAGGTCCAACAAAAAGTCTCAATCCAAGCAAGTGCATCCTGAGATTCCAAACCCTAAACACTAAACCCTAAACCCTAAACCCTAAACCCTAAACCCTCAGGTTTAAGGGATGACAGAAGATCCGGGTATGGAATGACAAGGTATGCTACTGACCACACCAGACAGGAGTTCTTCATCTTCGCCCCCCCAAAGAGGGTTTAGGGTTTAGGGTTTAGGTTCTTCTCAGATGGTTACCGGGCTACCAAGTTCCTCTGTCGTGGGGGTACAGAAAGGGTTTTTTGGGAATCTGGAGCCCTAAGCCCTAAACCCTAAACCCTGAACACCAGGGTTGTGTTTTAGGGTTTTGTGTTGTGAGGTTCGGAGTAGTCTTCGAGTACCTCATACGGCATTTCCAAACCCCAAACCCTAAACCCCAAAACCCTAAACCCTAAACCCTATCAAGGTACGGAGGCGTTGTGTTGCGAAGCGCTGCAAGTGCACAGGTCCTGCGGTCGGTGGAGCGCTTTGACCCACGACTCGGCCGCTGGGAGGACTGAGGAAGCTAGGGTTTAGGGTTTAGAGTTTAGGGTTTTGGGGTTTAGGGGTTTAGGGGTTTGGGGTTTAGGGGTTTAGAGGTTTAAGGGCTAAGGGTTTAGGGGTTTAGGGTTTAGGGGTTTAGGCTTCAGGGGTTTAGGGTTTAGGGCTTTAGGGTCTAGGGGTTTAGAGGTTTAGGGTGACGACCCAAGCAACAACAAAACCCCATACGCCCTTAAGCCCATAAGGCGGCCTGTGAGCTGCAAAACGCTAGAAGCCCTATCTACACCCTCCGTGCATATATATGTATATGTATGTATATATGTATATATGTATATATGTATATGTGTATATGTGTATATGTGTATATATGTATATATGTATATGTGTATATATGTATATATGTATATATGTATATATGTATATATGTATATATGTATATATGTATATATGTATATATGTATATATGTATATATGTATATATGTATATATGTATATATGTAGATATGTATATATGTATATATGTATATATGTATATATGTATATATGTATATATGTATATATGTATATATGTATATATGTATATATGTATATATGTGTATATATATATATAAACATATGTATATATATATATATATATACATAAACGGATCCTCGAAGCTCTTAGCATTAGAACTGCATACGGCCTCAACAAGCTAAGTTGCAAAATCCCGGGATTTGTACTCAACCATGCTCACGCCCTATACACCCAAAAGCCTGAATGTTCGAGAGCGTCGCAGTCTCCCACAAACATCCCGCGGCCATGGAAACCTGGAGTTGAGAGCGTGGTGGGTTTGGGGTTGTGGGATTTTAGAGTGCAAGGTTTTGATTTTTGGACTTTGTGTTCAGTGCGTGGAAATCAGGTTGGTGCCACCTTGGGTCATTTGAAAGGCTGGGACAGCAGGCGGGTGCGTGTGGCGTGGGTTGACTTAGAATTTGCTGTAAACTGACTGTAATTGAATTGTCTTAATTTCAGACCCTAAACCCTATCCCTTTTGGTCGCTGTGTTCGACTTGATTGCCAGACTTGCCGGTCACGCTACGGACGTTCTCATACCGTTCTTCCAAGGATGCTCCGGCCAGTTGAAGCACTGGTCCTAAACCCTAAACCCTAAACCCTAAAGGCCTGATGGATGCAGTCGCATCAGAAATCAGAACAAGTGTCCAAAAAAAACGAAAACGCTCATGTGTGTTCACAGCTTATTCCTTGTAAGACGCTCACAATTTCATGTATCGCTAGCGTTTACATGGGGACTTGAGCCTGTCGGACATGAGCAGAGAACTGGATTTTCTTGTAGGGAGATTGACAGGGGACTTATTTGGGGCAACCCGGGAGCATATTTGGCCAGTGCGTTGCTGCGTACTTGGTAGCGCCAGTGGTGCACTATTGACCCTTGTTGGGTGGTTCTAGGCTCCCGTATAATAGACCAGACCAAAAAGGGTGCCCTTACGAAACTATGGTTGCTGGGCTACCAAGAGTATGCGATGCCTCGCGAGTTGTACTCATGCTGGAACTCATGCAGGTTTCTTGAGTCTTCGTTTGGGAGCACGAGCCTCTCATCTACCGTTTGCTCAAGAACCCCCCGGAAAGAAACAAAAAGATCTTCCTTGCAAGGGAAATATATGGATCATGTTTGTTCTGTTTTTTTTTTGGGGGGAGGGGTTCTGACTGCAAGGATGCCAATGTATCCATGGATGGATAAGGTAGTAATTGCTTAAGAATCCCACCCCCAAAACAATTATATATATATATATACATATATATATATACATATACATATATATATATACATATATATCAACATATTGTTTCTTTTTTGGGGGTTCTTAAGCACATAGTAGTAATCTTATGGACCTGTGCATCTCCTGGTTCATGCATGTCTTTGACTCTGTCTCTCTGTGACACTGTGGACGGTCGGCCATTCGGTCGGTGGTTCCTTCTTTCGTTCTTGGGTTTAGGGTTTAGGGTTTAGGGTTTAGGGTTTAGGGTTTAGGGTTTAGGGTTTGCGAGCGATTGGAGGCCTTTCAACAAACCTCCCATGAAGATAGTTGAAGGTGGCTGGGGTGGGATCACTTAGCTACCCCAGCTTGCGATAGGGCGACACCTAGAGCCCAAAGCCTAACCCCCAAAGTATGTAGCACAATTACTCTTTTCATGATGGTTTTGGGTTTTTTTAAATATACTTTGGGGGTCCCTGGAACTCTATGTACGTACAGTTTAGTAGCAACTGCCCCTTATAATTAATAGGTATAACCCATGAAGCTGCAGGTAAAGAGAGTCCCAGGTAAACCCCCAACTCACCGAGACCCTAAACCCTAAGCCCTAAACCTCAAACCCCAAAAGCCCTAAACCCTAAACACCCTAAATTCCCGAAAAAAACGTAAATTCCCTAGAAACCCTAGAAACCCTGAATTCCCTAAAACCCCTAAATTCCCTAAAAACCCTAAACCCCAAACCCGAAACCCCGAAGGATCTGGCGCCGATGCCCCAGCGGCGCCACGGCTTGGCCGCCGGAGCACTCGGCTGCCAGCTCTGGGTCTGTGGAGGTGGGGCATCTTTTATGTTTATTCATATTATTGTTTTGATTATTATGATTATATTGATTCTTATGTTTAATTAGTATGTTTGTTTTGATTAGGATTATGAGTACGATTATGATTATGATGATGATCATTGTTGTTGTTTTTGTTTTTTTTTTGGGGGGGGTTAGGGTTTGCCACATGGCTGAGGGTTGTTGGTGATTTTTTTTTTTTTTTTTGGGGGGGGGGGGGGGGGGGGCGTATTGGTTTTTAGGTTTGTTTTCAAATTGTGTGGAGGTGCGCGGCTGAGGGTTTTTGGCGAATAGGGTTTTTTGATCATGGGGTTTTTGGGTTTTAGGGATGTTCCGCCGTGCACTAACAGCTCGTTAATTCGGAATATAGTACCCCTATTATAATCACGATTCAGGACTGTTAGTATAAGGGGGAACATCCCAAACAACTTGGGTCTTTGATTATGGGGTTCAGGAGTTTTAGGTTTGGCTTATCATTTTGCATGTGGACTTTCGAGGTGAGATGTGTGTCACAGCGTTGTATAAGGGGGGATTAGATTTGGGTTTAGAACAGGTTTTCGGCTTGCTTTTAAAGTTTTAAAGGGTTTCAGGGACTTCCTAGAGGGGCTTGGGCTTGGGCCGAGAGCCAACCCCTACAAGCCCTAAACCTGCCTGGCTTAGGCATTGTCTTGGGCATCGCCGATGGCTGATGGCCATATGTTGTCCTGTTTTTGTGTAGGTTATTGTGGGGGTCATCCTTTTTTTTGGCCGGGTCAGAATTCAGGATTTGAGACTTCTAAGGCTTGATAGGGTTTATATAGGGCTTATGGGGTTTAAGTAGTTAGGTTCTAGGGTTTTTCGGGGGCTGTGAGGCTCGCTGAGAGGCTCAAGGCTTGAGGTTCTGAGGGGTCTGACGAGTTTGGTTGCAGGGTAGTTTACTGTTGAAGGGTTCAGGGCGTGAGGGTTCTAGGATCCCGGCAAGCTTCTCTTTAAGGGATCAAGGCAAGGTTGTACCCCTAAAGGTTCCCCTGAAATATACTCCTTTATACTACCTTAAGGATCTTCAAAAAGGGTCCCTGGCCACAACCTTAAGGGTCCAAGGTACAATCCCTACTTGGAGGTTCATGGTACTTAGTAACCAATTATCACTGTACTTATAACCCTACTTATAATACCTCCAAAGGGCCTTATAGGGGTTATCCCAATTATAAGTAGGGTTATAAGTACAGTTATAAGTGGTTAGTAAGTACCATGAACCTTCAAGTAGACCCTAAACCTTAAACCCTAGATCTCTTACCGCAGGCAGCTACGGGCGGCAGGATGTCCGCACTGTTGAAGTCTACGACGTGGACACCTTCGCCTGGGTTCAGACGCCTGGCGAGCAATCGGTTTAGGGTTTAGGGTTTAAGGTTTAGGATTTGGGGTTTAGGGTTTAGGGTATCCTGAATGTTCCCAGAGAGCCCAAAAACCCTCCTCATGAAGGAATAAGCTGTACCTGGGGTCCTTATGATTATTTTAGGGTTTATTTCTTAATTAAGTGATTTAGGGTACAGTCCTTAATTCAGTGATTTCAGGAATATTCCTGGAATAAGTGATTTAAGAGATATTCCTGAATTAAGTGATGTTAAGTATACTCCTTAATTAAGTACAGGTTCATAGGAATTCTCCAGAACCCTAAGTGGCTAGGACCCAGAGTAGGCCCTCATTCCCTTTTTTAGGGTTTAGGTTCCCTTAGAAACGGCTTTAAACCAACAATAGGGCACCCTTTCTATTCCTAGGTTACCGCCTAGGGAAACCATTCTTGCCCTAGCAAAAGAAGATTGCAGAACTCTTGAGTACGATTTTATGACGTAGCTTGCGCAAGAAGCAGCCTACTTGGAGATTCATGGGTATAGTTAGCAGTGTGGTTATAACAGTGCGGCAACTATACTTCTAGCCCTATTCAGGGGACTTAAAACCCTACTTATAACTGCCATAATGGACCTTGCTTAAAAACACCCAAATTAAAAAAGAAACAGCTCTTCCTTATAAGGGTAGTATAGCGACTTTCATTCTTTTTTTTCCCCACCCTCGGTGTGGGGTTGTTAGATTTTAAACTCAACTCTGCTCCTCGCCCGGAACTCTTCTCCTCGCCCGGTCTGCTCCTCGCTCAACACTGGAGTGTCGGAGTAAGCCCCAGATCCTCGTTGGTTTCTAGTGCGCGCTCCGAGGATGCCCTCGATGCACATGCCAAGGACGGGCCAGGGTTTAGGGTATAGGGTTTAGATTTCGGGTTTAGGGTTTAGGGTTTAGGGTTTAGGGTTTAGGGTTAGGGTTAGGCTCGGGGCTTAGGGTCTAGGGATGCTTCTTCTGATTTAACGTGCATTCCTGAATCAAGGCAAGGACTATATACCCTTAAAACCGCGCAGGGATACTTGGAGGCTCATGGGTATGCCTAAGACGACAACTGAATCGATTATAGGTCTTTTCTTGGCATGGTCGTGGGTGGGGTACTAGCCCATGAACCTTCAGGTAGAGCCTAAGACCTCAACTAACTCATAAAGGCTGATAAAGGCTGGAGGGGTCTTAGCAGAGAAGATGTGGCCCGATGCTTTAGATCATTAGAGGTTAGGGTTTTTCGGTTTAGGGTTTAGGGTTTAGGATGAAAGTTTAGGGTTTATAGGGTCTCAGGCCTAGGGAGAGGAGTTCAGGGCTTCTGGATTGGAGCTGCGGGCAGGAACTGCGCATCCATGGCGTTCGTGCGGTTCTAGCATGAGAGGGCCGCGCCGTCTCACTTGTTTCTTGTTTCTTTGGTGGGAGCCACCGCAGCCACCCAGGTAGCCGCGAACAGACAACAGCAAAAAAGGAGGTGCGTGCCAGTTGCTTGTGTTGAAGCGTTCGACCTCAAAGCCATAACCCTCATTTGAAAACCCCATACTCAAGCCAATCCCATCCCTTACAGTACTAATGTCTTGCGACCAGCTTGCTGCGAACGGATTACCAAACCCTAAACCCAAAACCCTAAACCCAAAACCCTAAACCCTAAACCCTAAACCCTAAATGGTTTGAATATGGCAGCCGGTAGAGTCCACCCCATAAAGCATCCGCGATAGGATTGCAACTGGTGAATGACGAGGGCACTTTGAGGTTTCTCTTTTTCGGGTTATAGAGGGTTTAGGGTTTATAGGGTTTAGGGTTTAGGGAAGTTTAGGGTTTAGTGATATTAGGGTTATATAGTAGATTGTACAATAGTGACATATGGTCATAGTTATAATGGGTGGCAGTCCGTGTGGAATTCTGCGCGAGCCAGAAAGACGACGTGCCGACTCCGGATATCACGTTTCCTCCTGCCTGCTCGCAGCTGCAGCGCATGTCGCGGGCAAACGTTGTCGATGAAAGCGACTCCCGCTTTTCCGAGGATACTTCGGATGCTGAAGGTGTCGAAAGCGGCCATTGTGGCGCACAGCGGCGTCGTGATACCAGGCGTGATGCCTCTTTCAGAAAGGGCATGAGACCTGCAGAAGATGCTCCAACAGCATGGATCCAAAGAGATGAGTGCGTGTGCTCTAGGATGCAGTGGCCCGAGTTCATTGTACAATTAGTTATAGCTGGCTTCGTGATGCTTGGTCGAGATAACTAGAACGCCAGCTGCAACGGCAGCCGCGGAATGACGTGCCGATTTCGTCACGCGACAATGACGCATCGCCCCGCGCAAGGCCAGTCACTGCGATCAACGAACTGCACTCGTGCGTCCGTGGCAGCGATTGTTAGGGGCATCGAAAAACTCAGCGTGGATGCCGCCTCGACTGTACAAGAGCTTCTCATCCAGAGCTGAGCACAGTGTGCCCTGCAAGTGTGTCGCGTTCGTGAAGTCGTACTCGCCATGGCCCTCTGCGCTTGGAGCGCGGTTGCTGCGTGATGGTAGCTCTGCTGGCCACCCCTTTCCGTCCACCCATTTTTGGAAGACAGCCGGACGTGAGGAGCCTAGCCACAAACCGAAATTAGCCTCATAACCCGCAATCGTCAATTTCGGACCGAGAGTTTCCCAGCTGGCCCGTTGCTTGTTAAGGCCTTATGCGAAATCGAAAACATATCAAAGGCAGACGGGTGCGCCATAGGAAGACCGGTCTCAGGTCGTGAAGATGGACACGGAAGGGCTATGCTGCTGGCACACGCGTGTGGTAAAGACAAATAGCGCGTTCAAAAAAGCCTAGGCCAGAAGAGACTGACTGAACGCTCCCGCGCAGAACAAACGCAACGCTCCTAGAACACGCCCTCTCCAACATATCCATGATATCCAAGGCGGCACGGCAGGCGGAGTACAGGACCTTGATTGTGCGGAACGCATGGAGTGGAGTGCGTGGTAAAGTGGTTCCTCCGATGTGGCGGTAGCCCTCCTGCACGGTCTGCCGCCAGCCTCGTCCCTCCGAACTTGTGCTTGCCAGATCTGGTCGTATCGGGTCTGGTGCTACTGCAGCCCATCAGGCCTGTAAACATGCCAACGTATATGTAGGATCATGCAAGCCAACACGAGGGCCACCTGCAGTGAAGGCTGGAGACCCCGCAGCTGTAGTGCACGGCGCCCAGTCTGGAGACGGGGCGGATGGAGAGCCTGCAGCTTCGTTGTGACGCAGCGCGAGAACGTGCGAGAACGCCAGTGCTGTGTTCAGGGGAGGCTGAAGAAGCCGCTGACTCTTGGCCGGTTGCCCCCCCCTCTCCCCCCCAAACCTGTGGAAACCATCGCAAAGTAGTCGTTGTATTCATGCGCGGCTCGAGTGTTTGACCATTCTGACCCTCAAAATCGCTTGCTAAATTCCCGCGGCGCGGGTTCCACATCCTCCATGGAAACGCTGCCCAATTTTGTGCCAGAACCATCCAACATGCCCTCGGAAGATTGTTAGTCGCAGCATTTGTCGTGGACGGCAGCGGAGTTCCTGCTCCCTGTTGCGGGCATGTTTGCGCATCGATTTGATTTTTTCCAACGCGTGGCCTCACAGAACCAATATATGAATGTGTGCCAGCTTGGTAAATGTTCTGTCGTTGCCACTGGGTTCTCTCATCATCGCCCAATGCGCCTCCCGCGTCCGGCGCCATCAGTTGTTCAGATCTGCGCGTCTTTGACGAAGGTGCTGGCTGCTGCCTGACATTGACTCGTTTTGTCCTCGACGCATGCCATCCTGCAACGGTTTTGACCTCCTCGCCAAGCTTTATTGTCACGCTTTGCACACGGTGCCACGCTTCCTCGCCCCGCCCTCGGCGGCATGGCCATGGGCAGCACGCGGCTATGGCCCCGCACGCCCACTCAGGGTGCTGGAGGTGGCTGACCCAGACGGCCCCAACTGCTTGCCATGAAAACAGGCACGGGCGAAAGCGATCGCGCCAACGGCAAACGCACGCCGCCGCAGGATTAGAATAGTGCTTCATGCACGGCTATGCGCGGCTGCACTCAAGTTCGCTTTGCACACTGTGCCACGCTTCCTCGCCCCGCCCTCGGCGGCATGGCCATGGGCAGCATGCGGCTATGGCCCCGCACGCCCACTCAGGGTGCTGGAGGTGGCTGACCCAGACGGCCCCAACTGCCTGCCATGAAAACAGGCACCGGGCGAAAGCGATCGCGCCAACGGCAAACGCACGCCGCCGCAGGATTAGAGTAGTGCTTCATGCACGGCTATGCGCGGCTGCATTCAAGTTCCAATCAGGTTCCCTGCATGCGCGGCCACGCGGGTGGGTCACATTGTGCTCAAGCCACATCTTCCATGGCTCATGCTCACACGATTTGCAGCTCAAAATGTCATGCTGGGGGGGCTGCCGTAAGGCAGAGTGGTGTGCGCACCTGGCAATTGCATTCAGCTTTGATTCAAATGCGAGACAATCGTGCGGGCTCAAGCGCAAACAGTGGCAAGCTTGTTTCACACGCAACTTGAAAGAACTCAAGCTATCGGCTATCATCCGGGATCGCGAACCATGTCACAGTTGCTAAAGCACAGCACTTACTGATTCACACTCCACCCAGCGGGTGGCTCTCATGACGCGCTGCATGTTGGAACATCTCGTTATTTTATCGTAGTCCGTGGAAGAGCGACAAGCCGCAAGAGGCCAGCCACCGCTCTGGCACACACGGTTCCACAGCAACCTCACGAAGGGCTCTGCCCACCTTGCCAGTGCAAAGAGAAAACGCCACTGCGTGTAAAGGCAACTTGCACGCCCAATGCATGTCGTGAGATATAACACACACAAGCCACGGCGCTTTTGCTTTGGACGCGGGTGGCGTTGCCTGCTAGCTCCTGCTTTGACGTAGCATCGTGCAGCAGTCATGATGCCAAACATAGCCAGACGCAGCTACTTGCCAAGGTCTAAAACTCGTGCCTTGGCTGGATCGACGTTGCTGGCGGGCCTGCGACCAGACGCGGTCTGGACGCCGTGGCAGGCACAGGACTCGGCGATTGGCCAAACGGCTGGCAGCTTCACGCGTCGCGCACACGCATCGCCCACTACCGCGACACCGTGATGCTGCCATCGTTGACGCCGGAACGCCGAGCCCTTCTGAGTCCACAGTCGGGCCCGCACGCTGGCGTGTGGTTGGCAGCCACACCCGGCGGGCCGACTACAACGTTGTCGCAGCTCATCATGCACGTGGCCTTGCGCAGGAGATTGCGCCTGCAAGTGCCCTTCACCGTTCGCCATTGCTCGCCTGGGTGTGTCGCGGGACGGTGCATTTCCCCGCACGGCGAGCAGAGCACGTGAAAGCAAACGACGACTGGCTGCCGATGCAGTGTCTGCGTGTGCGCACGCAGCTCTCTGGTAGCTGGGGTGAGCAAGCAAGGCCGAAGCCGCTGACTTCTCTGGTTGCCGGGTGGAGCAGCGGCTTGCTTTGCACTGTGAGTACTGTGAGTGCTGCCATGACATGCAGCTTGCTCGTGGCTGTATGATGGGGAAGCTAAACCGACGCAGCTGGCTTGTCCGGCTGCAGGATGGGACACGCCCCCGGGCGCTGGAAGTGGTGACATGGCTGGTGGGCTAGAACCGTTCTCATTTGTGTTCTCGCACTGTAGTGCATATTAGAAAAATAGGTGACAGCAAACGATGATTAGCTGCCGGTGCCGTGGCTGGGCGTGCGCACGCAGCGCTCTTATAGTTATGGCGAGCAAACTAAGTCGAAGCCGCTGGTTTCTCTGTCTGCGTGACGGGGCAAAAGCTCGCCTCCTTGCCGCAATGTCCACATGCACAGGTCTCTTGTGGCTGTGGTGAGCAAACGCTTCCTCAGAACGCATCAAGCAGTGACGGAGAGCGCCAGTGCCCGGCGCAAGCCTGGGCATGTAATTTGGTGCAAGACGTGTAGATGCTTGTGTGTTCCCAGGCGCGTTGACCACGAGCTCGGGGCAGTAGGGCAAGGTCGTGACAACCCTGCAAGCAAAAGGCGCGCCCTGGGATTCCAACATGGCAAGTGAGGCCGGTCAAGCGCAGCGTGGAACTGGCCGGCGGAGGAATCGCCGATCAGGCCGCTGCCACCACGAGTGGTGTGTCAACAGGCTCGTCGGGGTCTGCCGGGCCTACGGGGGGCTGCAAGGGGAGCTCGCCGAAGGGCGGAAGCTGGACACCGCAGCCACCGGCAAGGGAGCCGAGGCAGCGGGGGGGGATTCCCAACATTCCCACCTAAATGCAGGTATTGCGCAAAGGTCAGCAGGATCCTTGGCAAAACAAAAGGCGCTGCGTGCAACAGGTATGCTCGAGAAACCAAATCGATTTTTAATTTAATTTTGACTTGGGAAAA